ACTGCTACTCTTTTTTTCCCCCTTGCAGCTTTAAAATCTCACTGTGCTGTGTGCTTCGTTTTGACTTGCGCAGTCTAGATTGGCTTCAGAATTTGCCTCTCGAACTGTCGTCTTGGATCAGCAAGCATGGGTGGTGCTTTTTTCATCGCCCCGTTCCAAAGCAATGTCAAGAATAAGTCAGCTAGAAGCGACTCCACGGAGGGGCCTGCTTCTTATTAGATTCCTAACGAACAGCAAGCAGGACCCAAAACGAGTGGAACAATATTGTTAATTCATTTTGATTCAAGGCATTCTTGGGCTGGCTTATGTGTGCTGGTTTAAAGATTAGAGAGACTGTAAGCATGTAGTGCATACCATTTCACATCCTCTCTTAGCTGCAAAGCAGTCTTTGTCATTTTGATGTGCACGTCGTTATTGAATTAGAAAAATGTGAAAAGTCGTGGATTGGTTGCAAAATTAGTCATAGCTTTCATTATACAAACATAATATAATGCTGAAGAGATCAATTTGTGTTTATCAAATATCTTAATTAAAATTAAATATATATATATATAAAATTACATTAATACAATATGTAAAATCTAATTAGATATTAAAATTATAAATAAAATGAAAATATCAAATAATCATTTGAATCAAAATTTCATGTTTTTTTATTTTATTATATGCATTAGCTCAGCATAAAAGTGTCATGTCACATATCAACATTACATCTTTCTTTTTTAATATGTTTGCAGTACATTATGTTTTCGTCTTCTCTTTGTTCTTTCAATCTGTATATCTAAAATGTTTATCTCCAGGTCTGAGCGAGGCATGTTTTGCATTATCCCTCTGATGCATGATTTTTTTTGCATTAGTCAGTAGATTCTTGGTTGACAAAATCAAGATTTTTAATGCACACTTAAAATAAATATCCAGCCGCTTTGTGTTTTCAAGTTTGCTTTTCGTGATTTAGAAGAGCCAGACCAGCGTACACCACTGAGGTCACGTTTCACTGTTCTTCATCACTAAAACAGCTGCGTACACTTTGCTGTATCTTTTTGAAATGCACCTATATGGATAACATAGCTCTCCAGTTTTTTGTTATGGCAAATAATTGCAGTTGTGTTTTAGAAATGTAAACTAAATGAAATAACAGTGCACTGATGGAAATATATTTATGCCCTAAAGTCGTGCATTGCTGTGGACAATTCGAGACATTTGAATTTGATATTTTAGTGCAAAAACCTGTGTTTTATTCACTAACCAGCCAAAATCCAATTTAACCAGGTGCTAAATATACTATAAAAATGAACAAACATGTTTCCTGTCTGTGTAAATTATGTTTACTATACATTGCACCTTTTTCTCAAAATTGGCCTGCTTCAAGTATTGAAGTATGATAAATATGATATGCTATTACCTGAAATTAATTTAAAAGAAATGTAATATCAGAAGTCTTCAAATTGTGTTTGGTGTTTTTTTTTTTGTGCTACTCCCTGGTTTGCATGATTCCTTCAATGAATCAGAAAATATATAGCATGTGCAAAAAAAAAAAAATAATAATCAGTGGACACTATTACTGAATTCCTCCCTCTGTCTTTTAGTGTATCTGCGTGTGTGTTGTTTGTTGTGTGTTTAGTTTTCTATGAGGGGATGGATGTGCCCCTACGCTTGGTTGGATGACAAATTTGCCCTGTGTGTAAAATGTGGGTTAAGATGACATTAGTAATGTTGGTCCACACATGCACATTTGGGAGTGTGTGTGTCTGTATCATGGTTAAGAGACGCTGTAAGTAAGCTGACACTGATGACGCAGGGCTCTCGCCTACAGTGTTTCTCAGCTCATTTTCAGATGGTAATTCGCCCCTTCCAAAGCAAACTCACAGAGTGTAAGGAAACGATTATATGCATGGCCGGCCATCCGTCAACATGCCCTGGGTTCTTTTCTCAGCAACCAACTTTGTCCAAGCCTTTTAAGAATTTAAAAATATTCCCAGAGACAAACAAGAGAAGAAGCAGAGTATTTCATTTGAAATATCTCGCAGGTAGGCTCCCGTTGGTCCTTTGTTTATGTGATGCGTATTTCTTATTTCTTTAAATCTTTTGTTCTCTTTCTGCCAAAACAAACAAAAAAAGAAGTCAAATTTGTATAATTATGAAAATATGGCTGCACTGCCATACCGTATTCACAATAGATGCTGTGGAAAACAAAAGACAGACTGCAAGATGTCAAGAATACTTATATAGTATGTATAGTCACGAGAGGACAGCCCATAAAGGTTAGTAAAAGGAAACTCCCACTAAAGTAAATAAAGTACAGGGTTAGCCCGCAGTCACCGTCCCCATTTAGTGGAGAACGATAAAGAAAAATAAACAAGGTAAAAGTAACCTCAGAATGAAAACATCTTTTGTAATATCTCATTGAATGTAGCATAATCCAAAGAAATCTCTCTTTAAAAGGCTTCTATTCCCTCACAGTATCCTTTGGATCAACTTCATCAAACCTCACTTATTAATTGGCTTTCTGCGTATAGGCGTAATTCAATCGCGATTGACCCTAGTGAGCAGGAGCCCAGCTGAGCGAGGCCATACCACATCATCAATCACCGCAATCCACAACGCTGGTGGCCCCTATTAAAGGCTAGTCTTTGTATTAAAACACAACAGGCCAACTGGGTATGTTTGCATAAAGTCACATGACAATCAGGTGTCCTTTCAAGAGTTTCAGCCCTACGGAGCCGCCACATCACAAAGACACTCCTGGTAGGACTCAAATGTAATGCTGCTCTGATTTCCATTGTTCTCCGCTCTGGCAGAAGAGTGCATTTGGTTTCCATAGCACTTAACTGGCATCAGATGTTTGCAGAAAGTCCCACGCACCCGATCGGAGCGCTAAGATTGATGGCCAGCACTGTATTGATCCCAACGCTGTGATCTAAAACAATGACAGTTCCTCCTAAGATGGGGACCACAGTGCTATCAAGCTCATCGAGGGGAAAATCCATCACAGGAATCTCTCGTAGACTCTCGTTGTCAGGAGGACCAGGTTTTCATTAGCCCATTTAACTCAGCACAGATAACTGAAGCTACTTTTCAAAGTTGGTGGGGAAAAGAGGGTATTTGGCTGCTTTTTATAAGGCAGTTCAAAGGCATGGATGTGACTCTCTGTACGGCGGCCTGCCGCCAATGACTGACTGCTGGAGCGATTCTGTTACTGAAGCAGATGGCAGGATATCCTGCTGTAGAGATTGTCTCAGAACGGTTCAAAGGGAACAGCGCAGTGGAAATTATGCGCCTCTGTCCCATATCGAAGTAATAAAGTCGCATCAAAGACGCCGAATACCTTGTTACATAAACCAGTGCCACGGCTTCATAGTTGTGTGGGTTACATTATTTAATTGAACCATGTGGGTGTTTTTTGTAGAAATGTGTGTAGAACATCGAGTTGTGTACTTCATTCAGTGATTTCATCCCTGGACGGCTGAGGAAACCGTTCCAATGTATTGGAAAATTCGCTGCTGGCCCAACGCGAGCTTATTTTGTAAATACGCATAAGTAATAAAAGCTGCTTTTGTGATGTTGAACTTCTGCTAATTCTGCTTTTCGTACTTGCTCAGGTTCCCGCGGAGGCCTTGATTATCGCCGGAGTCGGTGGCCACCAGCGGTCAGAAACTCATCACTTGGCACCCGAGCTCCAAATCCTCATGCGCCTTGCTACTCATCCCGTAGCGCTCTCTTTTTTGATTGCTGTTAAGCCTTAATGTGGGCAGGATGGGGTGATGAGGAGACGGGCTTTCTTAATCAAACCGCTGAGCGTTTAATCTTGTCGGTGAAACATCTGGCGGGCACCTTTTCTCATTTGTTTCTTTGACATCGGATTCCACCACCTCGTGCTGAGAGGACATTTTCAAAAGGGATCTTCATCCTTGTGGCACGAGGACTCCTCAGAATGTGCCCTGTGAAAATAATCCAATGGTAAAGCCCAAAGGTATGGCATGCGTCTGATCTCCAGATCACATGTGCCAGGAACGAACCACAATTGAGTCCATATGGAGCTTTCAAGTGCTAGGAGCGAACCGTGATAAATAGGAATGAATCAAGGATAAAGCCCCTGGCTTCAGAGATTTGTCCCAAGCAGCTGGCTTGTGGCCATAGGTTTTGCCACGATGTAATCAGGACACGCAGGTATTTATAAAGCACAAGTAAAAATGGGCCTTCTT